TTTTTTTTTTTTTACCCCCCCCCCCCCGCGAAATTAATTTCCAGTTACGGCCTTGTTCATAATCAATTAAGTTGCAACCCACTTACCAACATTATTAACTTGGGATATTACAACATTTAGTTGAACAACAAAATCAACAATTTAATGAAAAAGGTCTATAAGTTATAAGCCACAATTTTACTTTTATTTGTTAAAGGTACTGTATGAACAAATTGTTGAGGTTCTTCAATTCATTTTATTAATTTATCAACACAATGTTTTGCATAATTAGTAACAACTTTTACTTGTACTTGTAGCGATAGCGGTAGTATAATAATGGGGTATACCTATTATATTTAAAATAGAAAACTTGTACATGGCTATTGGCTATATTATAACATGAAATATTGCCAATAATCGACATAAAAAATTGAATCTATTAATTTTTCTTCCTTTTTAAGTGGACATGTGGCTTTTATCTCTTTTGCCCTGACGTCTCGTCAATGAGTTTACCTTACAAGACTGATGAAGTAAAAGTTCACCTCTCGTTAGTGAAAGACGACCGACAAATGCATGACAATGTGGCAGTGATAGCATTCACATAATATACAACACATTATATTATATTATTATCACATTATTATAGTCTTATGTATTAAACGTGTAGTATATTTATATACAGATACTAAACTGACTGCAGTCGTAGTGACTTTATTTCTGTTTTTAAGTACTGAACGCAAGGCTTACGAGGTTTTTGTTCTACAATTAAACACAGAAATACACGACAAGGATAAATTGAATTTAAGAGAATGAAATACTTATTGAAATTTACAATGGACCCTGGAACAACTATCGTGGTCAGGCACGATCCTTCTACCAGCAACCTACCAACCTGCCTATTGTTCAAAAGTAGCCAAACGACATCGACCACGGTGCTCTTGTGAAGTTATATGATCGTGGCCGTTGCTCTATCATATGGTACTGGTTTTCGTCAATCATACTAATTTTCTTATACTACCTACCTGAATAAAATTATAAATATACACCTTTTATAATCGCACTTATATTTTATATTGACCTTTTGCCCATGTTAAAAGTTAGCCCATCTAAATTGTTGAAACTGATTTGATTAATTTATTTGATCGTTGCATCTGTAATAAATAAAAATAAATAAATCTGAGAGTACAAAATGTATGTAAACATTGTAAACGGTACACGCTATTATTAAGGTCAACACACACTGCAGCTGTAGTTGGTAAAATGGGTCCGGAGTCCAATTGAATCAAGATTGCGTCTGGTATTAGATTATTCATTCGAATTTGAATAAACCGGTTTAAATATTTGCGACCATATCTAATATTGATATAAATATTGGATCTAATACACGTAATAAATATAATAATTTACAATGTTACAGAAAATAAATATACCTAATACGTATTCATTAAGTCCAACACAACTTATTACAATAAATCAATACAATTTGGAATGAAAATGTAGAAGAATTGGTTACAATTTTTAATCAAGCTAATTTGTTGGTGTGCTCTAAGCTTGTAGTATTTATTTATTACATAATTTACGCATGCGGTGGAGCTATCCGAATACAACAGCTAGGTAGTGTAATAAAAGACTAGAAGAGGTAGGTGAATACGGTGTAAGATGAAATAAGAATTATAAATAACATAAGGTAAATAAATAAATAATTACCAAACTGTATTTAGGGTAAAATGTTTTAATTTAGGCTCTTGGGGCTCAACAACAATTATTATTATGCCCTTATTCTCGTCCACCGATACAATGTTACAATATTATAATATAGATAGGTACTAAAATGATGTTTACAATTATTGGTAACTCATTAATGGGACTCACAAGCAAAGCCGACACACAATATTCTAACCAAAAAACACCTGTAGCATTAAATCCGAATAATGACATTCTTCACAAAACAATTAATACAGAAAATAAAATATATTAAGCAGACTCGTGGCCGGTGACTGGTGAGTGGTGACCGTACAGAGATGCGCCATGATGTACCGAGCTCTATTGCGCATCAACATTCCCACGGAGGGTCTATTATACCAATAAGCCCACACAAGCCATCATAACGACTCATGAGTCATGACTCTTGTGCTTTGTCTGAAACGCCCGCTATTAAGGAAGCAGTCTTGACATGTATATCAATAACAAAGAATTCACAGTCCAATACTTGTGAGTTGTGAGTATAAAATATACTAAATAATTGTTCAACTATTATTCGAGAGGAACTAATGTTGAAATAATTTAACTAATTGGAACACGTACGAATATAAAAATATGACGTAATATACCTAAAATCATTATTTACGTAATTACTATAGGATAAAGTTCATCCACATTGTCTGTGAAATCAAAATATAGCAACAAGACTGATATCAGCATCGTCTTCAAAAGAACAAACAATATTTGAGTTTGATTAGTTTTAATTTTAATAATTTGATTACGTCGTACTAAACGACACCATTATGAAATACACAGAGTGATTCACCAAATACTACTCTTTTAGATTCTGAGCAGAGCGATGAATGTATTGATTTTACAATGTTTTTTTGTATCTGTCATAGTGTCATCACCTTTTGGGACAGTAAAAATTCTCTGAATTTCTTCAACAGCATCTTTTCCTGTAGGAAAGTAAATCTAGTTTGTACTTTTAGGGGAAACAAAGACTTATTATACTCAATGTTTATAGTATTTCTAAGTATCTATAACCTGTACATATCGACCAGAATTTCAAATTTATATTTATTTTCAAATTATTATAACATTTCATTTTCTCCATCGATGTTTCAAATGACATCGATCAATCAGGCTGGATTTGCTAAAAACACCTTAATGGCACTTGAATCAGTTCAAGTTTAATAACAATACCATAATTGACGGTCATAATATGTGAATATTATAATAGTGTCACACGGAGTTTAGAGTATGGCAAGTCGCAAGTGAAATGAAAACAATAAGAATTAAAATCAATTAGTATAATAATAATAATAATAATAATAATTGTCTTACTACATAGTTTAAAATAACGATATACATAAATAATTGCATATCCATATTTCACAAGTGTACATTATTTAACAAAATATACTTAAGAGGATGTTATATAGGAATTTGTTGTCTCCTTTTCACAAGTGCATAACATACCAAATGTACACTCAGCAGATAACATTTAGCTTCTTTAATCTTTGGTAAAAAAAATATGAGCGAATCGACCTTCTATGAAACTTGATAATAAGAACATTATTCGTGTTTGTATATAGGCTTTTTATCATAGCTCAGTGTTTTAGGAAGTTTTGCTTATATAATATAGCTTAAATTAAAAATTCTATTAACTCACTTTAAAATTCATAATAAATAAATAAAAAAAAACCCCACATACAAACACAGATAATTTTCTTACCATTAAGTTTCACAATAGGTCAATTAGCTCTTAATTTTTAAACTAAAGTAATTATTAAACATTTAAACGTGATCTGTTGACTGTACATTTAGTAGGCATGATAAGCAATTGTAAGACAGAGATAACGAATGTCTAAGTAGTGCCCTTTTAATAACAAGTTCTTAATTTTAGATATACACTACATAAAATGTATTATTTCTATTATTATTCAAATCCTGATCTTTTTAAGTAAAACTTGTGGTGGGATCAGGATAGTTTTTTATGCAACTATGTATAACATATTTATATTAATTTCTTACAGTACCTATTGATTCTAAATTAATAAGCCTAATATGTAGTCCAACTAGTGCTTGATTTGGAGGGAGGGCGAGGAGGGCAGAGAAATTTCCTATTTTATTGGGTGTACCCATTCTAATTTTTTGAAACGGATCCCTGAGAATGCACCATTTACTGGTGAATTAGAAAATTGTCGGTTTTTTATGCAAAATATAATAACCATAATATTTTTACCTTATAATAAAAATATTAAAATGTCTTGTAACTCTTTAAAATACAGTTAAATACAACAAAATCATTGGGTCAGTTCATAGCAGCTTCGGGTAGCAGTAAATCCTGCTTCTGACATAGAATCATGAAACGTATACCAATAACTGGTAATTAACAAATGAGTGTTTTTTTTATGCATATATTCGTTGAAAAAATTTAATATTGTTTAGGTGTGATTGTTACTGGAGGGGGTGTGGGGGCTTTGCCCTCCCGGTAATGTGACAGTTAATTTTGTGTGGAACTCTCTTTCATTCAACATTCTTTGAGTCACCCTTCTAATTTTTTTTCAAATCAAGCACTGAGCAGATATTTTCTTTACATAAGCAAATATATTATGCATAAAACCTATACAACTATAATTTCCATCCGTGCACAAATGTGTCTCAATATCTTTAAATGTATAACTTACCTATACCTACATTATATTATTATAATTAAATTTAAAAACCATAAGTTATATTAATTAAATACTGAGGATAAACAAGAAGCCTTGTACGGCTATCTTAATACTAAGGATAAGGGTTAAATGATTATTGTGTATATAAAAAAAAATTAAATAAATAAGTTGGATAAGACTATCTAGTTGTCAACTTCCCATTTAATACATTTTATAATATATCCATCAAAATATTTTTTAATAATAATTATTATTATTATATATAAATGTGATGATATGTATGTGATTATTATAAATTTTATAATAATCACACACATATCAAATATTAATATAATCACTTTATTTAAAATTTTAATTAATTAAATTTAAATTTTTTAATTTAAATTTATAATGTTGTTTTTTTAGTCCAAAACATAAATAATAATATTTTCGAGGGATACCCTTGACCGCCAATAAAATAAAAATAGGTAAGTTAAAGGATAAATAAATACAAAACTGCTGTATTATTTACAACAACGATCCCGCTGGAAAGTTAAGATGACTTAACCAACGATTTGCACTCACATTTATAGGAGATTTTACCGATAGATATATGTATGTAAAAATGTCTATGCATATTTAATATATGAGTCATAAATACTGACTAATTAACCAGAATATATTTTAAAATTATATCAGGTTTCACAATAATATGTTCGAGTAACTTTGTAATTTATATTTATATTATAATATTGTTATTAAGAGGGCGCTACAAGGACAACATTGTTGCCTCCGCCTTACAAGTGCGTAACATAGCAAATGCACGCTCAACAGGTTACTTATAGCTTCGTAGTTAAATAATTAGAGCGAATCGACATCTTATGAAACTTGATGATAAGAACATTATCTGTGTTTTATGGTGGGTTTTTTACCATAGTTTAGTTTTTAAGTGAGTTATAAGCATTTTTAATTTAAGCTGTATTATACCTAAAACTGCTAAAAAATTGAACTATCGTAAAAAATTCAGATACGAACACAGTCACACAGATAATGATCTTACCATCAAGTTTCATAATAGTTTGATTTGCTTTACTTTTTAAATTAACAAGGCTACATGCAATCTTCTGAGCTTAAATTTGCTGTTACTCATTTGTAAGACGGAGACAACAAATGCTAGTGTTACGTCATGTTATGCATTGTTGGTGTTCAGGTAGCTGTCAGTATTGGTGAGCAATGTATTTAGTAATAGTTGTAACTAGTTGTTGTTGCAACATTGGATTTTGTTATTTATTGTGTATCATTTGTTGTCGAGATCGTATGTTTATTTTTCTTTGCTGTTGTTCTTGGTAATAGTCGAGATCGTTGGAGTTGTTGCTCTGCGATCTTGGATTTCAAATTTAGACAGAAAAACACTGGGCAGTTAGAATCAATACAATATGTTGCATGATAGATGCAAATTTCAAAATATCGACAGTAAATACGACACAATATGTCTCCACATTTGACTCTACATAATTGAACATGTTGCAACACCCTTCTCATAAAACTACAAGTTTCAATGTGACAGCCGTTACATTGGCTAGCGTGTACAAGAAATTTATTATACCGGAGAAATGTTAATCGTCTAGGTTCTTGGGGTTCTGCTTGTTGGTCAGTAGGAGATGATCCGTCTACCACATCATGACTCAGTTTCTCCATGGTGTGTGGATGCTTTTCTTTCTCGTAACAATCAATACATAAATCAAAGTCATTGCATACAGTGCATTGGTGTCTGGTTACCATATGTGAATTACAACAATTGCATATGTACATTGCCACTGAAGGAAACATTGGTATCCTAATAGTGATAATAATTAATAATTATAAACTAGGTACTTTCAAATAATAATTTGTACTAATTACTTGACAAAAGATTGAAAAAATGTCAGCATTTTTTTTTTTTTTGTAGCAGTTAACAGTTAAATGAACTTTCTTGAATTTACTCTTGCGCCACTCCTATTCACTCAACTAAAATTTAAACACATAATAATGCACAGTTAAAACTAATTGTTTGCTCAAAAACAACTCGGGATAAAAGAGGGGGTGGGCACCATTGTTTTAAGCGAAATAAAAAAAAAAATGTTAGAATAGGGACAGCGAATAATCGTAATTTGTTATTTTGAGGAATTTAGTGGACTATATTTTTGAATACAGCAAAAATTGTAATATGATTACACACATATATCTAAAAACCTACGGGTTAGGGGTTGGGGGTTAATATGCAGTGTGTCCCGAATTTTATGAGATAGCAGATTTCAACATGATATACTTAAATTAGGAAAAATGGCATATGTGAAAACCTCTTTGAATCATATAATTTAAATTAATTATTTATTTGTTAGTTAAAAAGTGGAGATTTTAGAGGTAACTTTATAAACACAAATGGGAACCTATATTTTTTAAATATGATTCTGTAGGATTTTTTTTCAAATATATTTGGATGTATCATTCATAATTATGGGTCAATAATTAAAAAAGCTCGAAGAACTAGTTATAATAATAAAACGTGTGTTTGGTATCTTAATTTCATTTTATATATTATAAAGATAGGAAAAAGCACAAAATTGTATAGATACTAAAAAAATGCAATGCATTAGATAATAAACCTACCCATAATATTATGTAAATTGTATATTGTATTATTTATAATCAATGCTATTATTGGAACGATTTTTAACGAATAGAATGAGTGATAATATATATTATTCGATATATTCGTAATATATTATATTTCATATAAATATGTATAAGTATCTTATTTATTGAGTTATTTTTCTATTATTCTTTATTTATCTATTTCGTTAAGATTATATAATTCAAAAAGGTTTTCACATAGGACATTTTCCCCTAATTTGAATATAGCATGCTGAAATCTGCTGTCACATGATATTTGGGACACCCTGCATAGTTATGCATAGTTTATGCACGATATCGGGCTCACAAAGATTGAGAATAAAATTAATTTATAAAATATACAATAGGTATTATGTATGTCTTACGTGATTCCGTTTAACTTGGCCCACTCAAACGGAAAGGTGACCTACCGGACCGCCAAACCTGGAAAGATGGTTAAGTACAGCTGTGGAGCAGTGTAGACGTATGTGAAAGACGTTCGTACAGTTGACGACAGTGGCGTATATACGAATTATTTTCACTATGGGCCGATTTATCAATTATCACTAGTCAAGCAGCATAGCCATAATTATACATTTTTAAGGGAGCAGCTGTTATATAATTAAGAATTATGACATATTATACAGTTCAAATAAAAATTGCGCAATTCAATTTTATAATTATTATGTAAAATTAATTTTTTGTTTCTTTTTTTAAAAATATTGACAGTGTCGTTTGTATATTTTATTGTTACCTTACTATGAATTTAACATCAAAGTCAATAAGTCATTAAAGCAAGTCGCGTCAATATATCTAACATTTCCTTGTAGATTACTCAAAAATGATTTTAATCAACCGGCTAACTTAATCATGGTGAAAAACTGTTAACAGTGTAAATATACATGCAATGCTTTAATTGAACCTGCAATTTCACTATGGGCTCTGGCCTAGGGGGCCTCCCCCCTATATACGCCACTGGTTGACGACGTGGGCGCACACAGGAAGTACCGAAAATCAATCGTCGACGAGTGGCAGCGAAAGGCGTACAGCCGTACAAGACTAGTCACTACAAGGCAGAACCGCAGATTAAACTAATATACTGTTTTAAACAGGTGGTACACTCCCTAAAACTATTAATTTTCTAATATTGCATCAAGTTTATATAGTATAACATAAAATCAATACGAATACTTTGCTCTGATTGGTCTCCGGCCTCCGACCAAATCAGTGTGACCGCATACGCCAACACATAGATATTAGATATAACTTAAATATATTAAAAACTGTCATTATAAAATCGATAACATCCCTCGGCGTGTTATGTAAAACCACCTTGAGTGGGTCTCAGATTTCAATAGCTAAAACTTCAAAATTAAATTCGACTGCCAATTCTGACTTCATCATCGTTTTTGGCATGCCTAACTACATACGTATAAAAGAAAACCAAAATTTATTCTAGTCGCTGCGTGACCCGGGAACTGGAAGGAGTGGCCGTGTACTCCGGTCAAACAGATTTACGGGGAATATGCGATTGAGTCATTGGCGAACTCCGTACTGTCCGTAGGAGCGCGTTGCTAGTTATTAGAATCGCACAATACCCAACTCTTATTATCGTCGATCAACTGTCGGACCCGCGACTCAGAAGCGGTTCCCATTCCTCACTTTGGATTGCTATAATTGAAAACATCAAATCTTAATTCCTTCCCAAATCACTCTATAACTAAAATATATTTAATCTGAAAAAGGATATTGATTTAAAATAGTAATACCTGTACACTGTTGCTGAGTTTTTTACGTATCTTAAATGATAAATATATTCAAGAAAGGTCAATTTTCGACTAAGAGGTAAATTTGAATTTCTTTAACTTAAAAATAAAATTATCCGTCAAAAATCGGACAACGATTGTACAACAAACAACATGTCTGGATTATATATTTCAAGTTATAGACTCTTAACTATAATACATAGACCAGTGAAAAGGAACTCAAAATGCAAAATTTCCATTTTTAGACTCTATTTACAGATGAAAAAGTCACTCAATTTTTTAAAAATATTTTTGTTTTCATCTTAGACCTAGTTTTAACTATGGGTATTCTCAATTTGACTAATCAAAATTAAAATGATCAGATATTCCCCCTTAACAGAGATAGCATGAGTTTTATCATAAGAGTGAGAGAAATGGTACTTTTCTGAGAATAGCCAAGACATAGCTTTAACAGCGCCTGATCCGCGTAACAAGTTCCACCCACTCACACACGTTATCATACCTAATGTTCCGTCTATTTTTATTAGTCTATGAATTATAATGGCAGCTAAAGGCGCAGTAGGTATCATAATAATTAAAGATTTGCGTTCTCAACATCTTGTCAACAACAAAGCCACCGCGTGCATGGTAATAACTAACTGCTACCTCGTCAAACATTTCATCGGTATAGCATTGATAAAACTTCGGGATGACTTTAAATTACTCGACAAATTATTAAGTGTCCTGGTAGTTAATACTTTATGATTGTGTGGTTCAGTTGAAATGTGTGTCAGAGATCGAGAATTTAATACGCCCTCAATCCGTGTAGTTAAGGTCTGGAATTCTTCACGTGTTAACTATTATGTACTAATCACTCGTTTTGAATGAAATTTCACACTCTTATTGATCGAGGCTTTCCACAAACCCCTGAAGTGGGGTACTGTGAGCGTATTGAAATGCCAGTTACATGACAACCACGAGGAAACCAAGTTATAATGCCTGTATTATGAAATAAGAGTTGACAAGTTGCCCCAACACGACTATAGTAGTATTACAGTTGGAAAGCAAATCGTCAGGGACAAAACGGTGAAAAAAAAATCGGTTAAGAACGGCAAGGAATGCGTCAGCTAACAGTTCTGAAACGACTTCAACATGCACAGCTTTGATGATCATGCATATGAATAATGCACTGACACTATGGTCGTTTTGGTATAACGCCTTTTGCATTTCTTCACTAAATAAGGTCCACCATAATCCATACCAACTTGAGAGAACACATGGTGTTTTTGAACGCAAGTCATCCATGATTGGCGTGGAGTGAAGAGCTGTGTATCAATTACATGTGATACACTCAAAAATGTTGCTGCATATTGCATCACAAGCTGAAATGATTCAAAACTTCAGTAGAATTAACTGCAAACATTGTGGCTAAGTTTTGCTCCGATAACGTGGTTAGTCTGCAGTTACACCTCAACACCTGGTTGGTCCGGGAAAGTACTGTAAATAAAACGAAGCGCATAACCGAGTGAGCGCGGTATTTGAGACCATGTTGAAAATCAGTGGTGAACACTTTCTTCAACTAAAGTTGCCTGTGTTGCGAAAGCATTAACACTTATTTGCTCGACTTTGGGTAAATTATTTGCGAAGATGGTAGTAAAAGTCGATATAGGCCAATAAGTCGTAAAAAGACGAAGGACGGCAGGACCATACCAGTTTAGTGAACACATTATCCAGGAGTAATCTACGTCCTACGAGAAGACGTGTCTGCAGGGTTGTCAGCCGTTGATACGTGTTACCAAATGCAGTTGGAAATCAAGGCAGTACTAGTTCATAAGTTCTACACCATCTTATCCTCGACGCTGATGCCTGATGGACACTAATTAACTATTCATTTAAAATTGAATATTCATTTATCAAAATATAAAGCATATAGCGAACAATTATTCTATACACTTTAAATTGAAATTAAAAACTTATAGACGGTGTCCGCCATCCGTACCAAAGAGCACAACTGCACAACTATACAAGTCAATCATTCAATACTAAATTTTCATTGATTTTGATATTATACATTTATTTTGTTGGTAACTTTATGCCTGGTTAACTGGTGGCACTGAAATTATAAACATCGAGATAAAAAATCGGGTAAGTGGATAATGCTTTGCTGTACATTATTATATTGTTATTACTTATTATACAGTAACCGGTAAGTTTAATTAATATTATTCATAGTATTATTTTTAAATTACCAGTTACGCTGGAAATATATTATATATACTCAGCCTATATTATATTACTAAGTCGGTATATTATATGATATTATTTTTATTAGAGTAATTTATTTTACTAATAGACATTAGTACTATAGAATATTTGAAATTAATTTTTGGCGAAAAATTGCATTTGAAAATGTAAAGCTTTCAAGTTTGTTATTTTTTTCAACTACTTCAAGTTAAGTTACTTAATAACTAAGTTAGAATTTATAGATCTATTGTCTATTATAATTTATTATAGCCATCGGGATAACATATATTACAAGAATTAGGGCTAGAAATAGAAGAACTTTTATAAATAAATAAATTTAAAAAATAAAGTACAAGAAAAATCTCTTAATCATTAAATTGAAAATAATCAATAATTCTTATTCATTATTAGGTATTTATTATCATAAAATCAATACTTACTTAACGGCTGTAGTGGCCGAACGATGATTAAACGCGTCAACAAAAATACGATGTGACGTAAATGCGTGACACACGCTTTGGATCAGGCCGTTGACGTATTCAAAAAACTAATTACATCGACCGTAGACCAACAGCACCCTAATCGAACTGATGACAACGCCTTCGGTTTATCGTAAGTGGTGGCAACAGCGCGGGGATCGATTGCAAAACGCAAATGAAGTACGAATGAACCGAAATAAAACAAAAACGTGTCAACATCAAACATTAACTCAGTAGTCAGTGTTGCCCAACTTTTTTTTACTCAACGACCCTTAAGATTTTAAAAATCTCACACCACCACTCAATCAATTTAAGTTTTTATTTTTTAATAAGTTATTTAATTAAATAAAAAATATAATTGAACCCTTAAATTTAGTTAACTTTAAATTTAAGTACCTAAGAATGCATAAAACAATAATGACGTCAAGTACCCACCTAGTACCAAATACGACTACACATAACATGGTCGAAATCAGCTAATGATTAGTCTCTAATCGGAATCTATACGATAAGTCCGATAAGACTATAATAACGTCAAGTGCCTACCTTGTAAATAAAATCTATAGTCCAATAAGCCATAAGATATAATTATTTTGATGTTATTTAAGTGTCTATAAATATTAGGTATATACCTACACAATTCTGTATATTACATTTGGTATTTTAAATCAGTTTTCATTCTACGCAGTTATACATTTCATTGCAATCAGCTATAAACAATAAAAATTTAAATTATAGATGAGCGTCCCCCCCTCCTTAGCGTCACCCGCAGAAAAACTTCCCCTTAAAAATAAAAAATGCCCACAAGGGGGTGGTAGCGCCCACATTGGGAAACACTGATTTAACTCAACAGTTGATCCAACTCGTGGTGTTGCCGCATAATTGTAACAGCCAACAGGTGCTTTGTTACGGTCTGCGTTGCCCGGCGTAATATTGTTATCAACGAGTTATCTCGAACCGTTGGTGCGAAATAAGGCGAACGAAACACGACGTTGAAATGGTAGGCTGTTATAACTTTATAAGACACCCATGATTGAAATATACAAGGTTATTGCATATACACCCCCTCTCAATCAAATATTCGATGATAAAAACAAAAATGGCAGCGTAAAGG